CTGCTGCTGGAAAAGGGTGCTGACAAAGATGCAGCTAAGCAGGATGGCACAACGGCCTTCCATCGAGCAGCTGAAAATGCCCGCTTGGAAGTTGCACAATTTTTGCTTCAACGTGGCGTGGCGAAAGATGCAACCACACAAGATGGCTCAACAGCTTTGTATATGGCAGCCCGCCGTGGCCACTTAGAAGTGGTACAATTGCTGCTGGAGAATGGTGCTGACAAAGAAGCTGCAAATCAAGATGGGAGAACACCATTGCACAGCGCTTCTAACAGTGGCCGCTCAAAAGTTGTCCGATTGCTGCTGGAGAGCGGCGCTGACAAAGCTGCCGTGGACCGATATGGCACAACAGCACTGCACTATGCAGCCAGCAATGGCCACTGGAAAGTGGTGCAACTGCTGCTGGAAAACGGTGTTGACAAAGATGCAGCCAATTGTGACGGCACGACGGCCTTGCATTCGGCAGCTATGAATGGCCACCTGAAAGCGGTGCAGCTGTTGCTGGAGAACGGTGCTGAGAAAGACGCAGCTAACCAGGATGGAACAACTGCATTGCATTGGGCAGCTAAGCATGGCCATGCCGAAGTGGTGCAAATGCTGCTGCAGAGTGGCGCGGCAAAGGATGCAGCAACACATGATGGCACTACTGCCTTCCATTGGGCAGCTACCAATGCCTGCCCGGAAGTTGCACAATTTCTGCTGGAGAATGGTGCTGAAATAGATGCTGCCACTCAAGAAGGCTCAACGGCTTTGCATTTTGCTGCCCGCCATGGCCATATGGCAGTTGTGAGATTCCTGTTGGAGAGAGGTGCCAACACAGATGTGGCAAATCTGCAGGGCGCAACAGCCTTGCAAAAGGCAGCCCAGTATGGCCACTGGAATGTTGTGGAACTGCTGCTGGAGAGTGCTGAGGAAGATGCGTGAGATGATGCGTGAGTCATTCGGACACAAGTCAACTATAGTGACTATAGCTGCTACGCTGCGCTGTTCCTGAAAGGTGGTGCTGACGGTGCCAGCAGTGGTAGAACAGAACAGCGCTTTGCCATTGAATGCTCAAGCTGGAAATGGACTTGGTGCGATTCTTGCGGAGAAGGGACGGCCATTGGCGCAGATGTCACTGTTGTAAAATGCTTGGAAAGCGCAATGTTTGTGAGCATACACTGATATTCTGGTCTTTAGGATTCGGCCCCCCTTTAAGATCCAAAGTCGGATGGCAGATGGACGCACACCTCAGGCAGGATGCATTGGTGGTGCGGAGGCAAGCGGCTGGAGCTCCTGAGGCAAGTGTTTTGAGTTGTTTCGGTTTGGCATGAGCTTCGGTTGGGCATGTCTTCATGCGAATCATGGGTTCCGTCATTTTTTTGGTGGACATGTGGGTTGGAGAGGAGGCTTCAAAGCTTTTTGCACTCACAAACGGGGGGCTTGGAGATGTGAACTTGGCTGATGTCCTACCAAGTATAACAATGTATATATACAAACTCCTGGGACACAAAAGCACAATCTTGAATTGAAAACAAGTCAATGGTGAGAACATTTAATGGTGTCCCATTGTCAATGGTGAGTCGTGGAATGTTTGTCCTGGAGAGTGGAGTGCCCTAGGTGCTCTTCAGAACTAGCTCCGTGGTGCTGAGGGCAGGAGGTCAAGAAAAGTGTGCAAGCTTTCCGAGACATTGTTAGAATGTTTCAGGCCCTTTGCATTTCAGGCGTATTTTGCACGCACCTGTCTTTTATCAGCTAACTTGACAGAGCTGTCACTGTGATGCCCCTTGCTCTTACCATGCAGACGAAGTCACCGCTTGGAGGTCTAAAATGCAGGAAGACCCTTGGGCAAGACTTCCATTCCCCTCGTGCTTGTCCCAGCAACGGGTCAGCCATCTCCGCCAGTGCTTCTTGCGTTTCATGCTGCCAAGGCCTGTCAGCTCCAAAGGTAGTCAAACAGTACACAGCACATCTCAAGAACTTATCAGATCCGCCATTCTTCGGCAGATTTGTTTGTCAGCCCTTTTCCCGAGCACCTCCGTGACGCAATGGCAATGTTGGGTTTGGTTGTGCTGGCACTAGCGTGCCAAGTGAGACTGAGCGCACTTAAGTCACGGGCCCCTTAGCAGCTAGCCAGCCTAGCCAGTTGGAATCCCATCGAATCTACTAAAGGAAAAAAGATGTGAACTGCGCGATTTCAGGAAGAGCACAGGCAGCGAGCGACATTCAATTTTGGCAGGTGGGAGTTTGTTGCAATAGAAAGGAGGGACCCACCTGGCAATTGCCGAAGTTGCGCTGAGGACTCTCAGCTACCCTCAGAATTGTTCGACCAACGGCAACTGCGTCTCCAGGAGAAAGACTTGAGAGCTCGAGGTTTGACATGATTCATTGTTACATCACATGCCCTTCCAGAGTATTTTGTGCTGTCTCAAGCCGTTTGAACCAGATCGGCGTTTTATTTTATAGTCGTTGTTTTCCACCAGGATTTGGAGCTGCCAACAGCAGCGGAGTTGCACGCAGGCCGACAACTTTCTTCTCGAGCTGGATTTTCACTACAGCAACATGGCAAAATTGCAAGTTCGCCGCGATTCATCCAGGTTTTTTGATGCAGGGCTGGGTTTTGGGGAGATTGGACCGGATTCAAGACCAAAACCCTTCCAACCATCTTCCAGCCTTCCACCCTTCCACCTTTCCTTGGCATTTAGTGGCCCGTTGGCCTCCTGCATGAAGCTTTGGCGGCGCGCGATTCGGCTCAGGAGAGAAGGGATGCCGTGAGGTCATTCCACTGCTGCTGGAAGGCAAGAGTCATTCCAAAAAGGATCAAAAAGGGTGCGACAAATGGATCGCTTTGACCTCAAAAAAAGTTTTGTAGGCCATTTCAACCTAACCCACTTCAATCATTCTCTCAATAGCCACAAAGGCCATTGGGTTAAGCCAAACAGGGCTACATCCCCCGCGACAAGCTGTTTTTAGAAAACACAAATTGTGCATCGAATGCAATGACATATGTACGTAGCCATAAATGGGCCGATTTACGTGTGCAATCCTCACCCCTTTGTATAGGTACAAGTTTGAGGGCAGAGGTTGAGAAACAACATAGCTTGCACATTCGGGTGCCCCCTACATGTATGTTGACCACGCTTGTGCGCTTAGGGGGCAAGATTTACACAGCTTGATGGTCGACCCATGTCCATGCACCCCCCAAGAGTATCGTTTGGATGTTTCTTGGAAATTCCTCCAGAATGCCGTGCGATATTCTAGAACATTCGATCCCCATATTCTTGGGATGGGTGGAGTCCAGTTTGGGCAGGGGAGGGGTATAAGCTGGAACCTGACAGGTAGAAAGTTACATGTCCTTTCTCCTGCCTGGTTGAGATTTCTGTTGTGTCTTCGGTGTTTGTGCCATCTACTCAGGGCACTGAGCTGTTGTGGAAGTTGTAGGGGCTCTGCCAGGTTCCTCAGCCTCTCCTCCCATGTTTTCAAGGTTTCGGGGGGGGCCTAACCAGCAGCGCCTTACATGTTCTTTCGTTTGGGGAGCCACCCACCGGACGTTTGCAACTTGTGTCACATAAGTAATATATGTCTACAAGGGAAGGGCACTGCATAGTGACGGAATGAAAATGCAGCTCCCCGTTGGTGGCTGTGGTGGCGCTTCCTTCCACCCTATGTTCATATTTCCCTTGGCCTTGTAGTACCCGCATGCGCCTACATTTCCCTGGCCCTCAAGAGGGCCGACAAATTGCCCGAGCCTCCCCGGGTTCATTTTACCTGATGCAGCTACGTGCAACCTTTAAGTCAGATTGAACCTGATTGAACCATGGTTAACCAGCAGCATTCAGCCAATGCCAAAGAGATACTGTAGCCAATGTTGTTATAGTACCGTATATATTATGTTTACATCAAACTGTGCAAATAAAGACGCAAGCCAACATGTTTCTTCAAGGTCAGATACTGGGATGTAAGCTTACATGTTTGGGGTAAGATATCCGTGCTCACGGTAGCTTGCATTTTTCTAGGAATCATAGATTTGGCTTTTGTCATTGTCACAGTAAGGAATCTCTTTTCCTGCTACCTTCACTTTTGCCAGTCAGACTTGTTCTAGTGGAGGTGGCAAAGTAGTGGCACAATGTCTCGATGTCTCGACGTCCTTCTAAGCATCTGAGGAGCAAAAGCGTCGTGCAGGTCGATATTGATGCACGGTGCATTGGCTGCATGACCCTGATTTCTGGTTCTATGACAAGTCACAGGATGTCACAGGAGTGGATCTTGAATACTCCAGTATACTCCAGTATATAGATGTGCAAAAAGTCTAAGCAGCAGGGTGAGACCGATCGCTCAAAGCAGGGAGCCTTCCCCATGTGAAGGCCGCATTGCTGAAGCTTGAAGTGGCTTTGTGGCATTCACTCAGGTGCGAAAAACCATCCAACTTCAATGACTTCTTCTTTGGCCGCAGGCTCAATTGTCGGAACATGCTCAGGCACCTCGGCCGATGGATGTGGGCAGCGCACAGGTGCCAAGATCCTGAAACACCATAGCATGGCCCTGTGATAAGGAGGGGCCCACCTCCACGGGTGGTGCCTGCTATGGCTTGCCCCTCCGCGCAGAATGTGTCCGACCTTGTGGTGGAGATGCTTGGCTCAAACTTCTGCTAACTTTTCGTTTGCACTGAAGCTCCAAGAATAGGGAATTTGCATCATGACCGCATCGAATGAAATCATAGGGCTCGTAAGAACGGTAGGTTCGTGCTGGGGCGGAGTTGTGCGTGCACAAAGAATGACTCAAATGTTCGACACATCCGTTAGCGTCAAGTGGAATGAAATTGCTGCTTTGGGTCCGGCCACACGAGTTGGATGACACTGGTGACCATCTGTGAAAAATCCTTCAAATCGGTGGGTGGGTTTTAGTTGTCAGACATCAAACGTTGGATTGCGTGCTCCCTCCTTTAAAGCATCAATTCCGTGAGCTTCAGGAAGTGCAGCTGGCATTGCAAGCATAAGAGGCCGGTGTCGCGGTGCTTCATCTCCTTTGATCCGCGCAACGCGCTTGGCGTACAGCAGCTTGCTCGCCAGACCATGGAGATCCACAGTTGGTACATGATTGCGACGTCCATGTGAAATACAAATGGATGAACCAAGGCAGAAGCTAGACAAATGCTGGATCCAAGAAGCTTGGATGACTTGGGTGGGCGTCATGCTGCTGACAGAAGCCAATGGCCATCAAGTGGCCACATTCCAGTGTCGATGTGATGAGATGCCGAAATGCGGGTGGTTGCAGAATCCAAAACGAATAGTCAGAAAACCAAGTCAGGTCTAGTGACGGATGAAATTTGTAGTTGCAGAGGGGATAGCCAAGGAGAAATGCATCAACAACCAGATGAAGGCGAAAACCACTTGCCAAACAGCTCCATCCTCTTCCACTCCTGCTGTCACTCCAGCTGCAAGAACTTGCGAGAACTGAACCAGTTGCAGAGGAACTGAACCATGCAGGAACTCGCAGGAACTGCATGGCAACCAAGGTCACATTGGCGGGATCAATGCTTGTCACCGTGACCGATCCGGTCACATTCCTGGCCCAGCCCAATTTGCAGTTCGCATTGCAGGATGCCATCGAACGAATGGCGTCTCAGATGCCCTTGGTTCATCTGAAACGGCATGCCGCTTCGTGGCCAAACCGGTCATGTGTAGGTTGATGGTCAACTTGCACTCCAACACATGACCGATTCACAAGTGCTGATGTTTGTGCCCTGTGTGCAGACTCGTTCGTGCATGGCTTTGTGGTGTCCAATGCTTGGCCGTGAGCGAGGCGCCGGAGAGCGACTTCAGCGATGTGGCGATCGAAATTCCTTCCAGCAATAGCTTGGCAAACAAGACCAAGATGGTGAAGGCTGACCGGCCTAAGTTGAAGACTTGGAAGGGCCTTTCAAGAGTGGTTTCAAGGGTCCATGTTGGGGGGTGGGGGGTAAACCAACAATTCACAAGCTTACAATGGGGTCCGTCCTGTTGCCATTTGACTTCGCCTCGACTTCCTTAAGTGTCCAAACAGACCTGACTGCAGCCGCTTCAGGTTGGGTTCAATGCCTCCGTAAAGGGGAACGATGATGAGACCTCCGACGAGAAAGCCTTGGGGGCCGAAATGGCACTGCAGAATATCTCGCACGACGCCTTGGTGGATGCCGTGAATGGTGCGCTTTCATCGGAAGGCGCCGCCTTTGATGTCATTTGTTCGGCCTCAATGAGCCCGTAAACTTTACATCGGTCATTGTAGGGAATCAATGATCGTAGGGCAGCTCCTCTCAGCCTCCTCAGCGCCACACGATCAACGGTTTCTCAAAAGAAGGGTGTGTGTGGGGTCCACCTTTCTATATGGTTGTCTACATCACAACTTTGTTTGGGCAGAGGCTTTATTAGGAGGTGTTCCCAGAAAAAAGTCTCACGGCTGATAGGTTTGACCAACTTGGTGGAGGATGCAATGCTGCTCCTGGCACCCTTGAAGTTGAAGGGCCCAAGGTCTGAGGAGAGGATCCTGAAATCAGGGAGACCGGTCCAGGTTGAAAATGATTGAATAGAATCACAGCGTTTGCATCGGATAAGGCCATGCAGATCGCAAGTTGTGACCGTTTTTGTTGGCATGTTTGCTTGGAAGCTGCATGAAGGATTTTGAGAGTCTCGTGGCCATGATGCATCTTTACCAGAAGCATTTAGAGGAGGCACGCGCCCGGAGCATGTGAATTCCCGATGCTGTTTTGAGAAGTGCAGCAACCCCTCCCCTTGGAGCATTTCATCAGACCTGACAGGTGAGGCTGGAGCTGCAAGAAGTCCAAGAGGATTTGACCATCCAGATGCTCGGAAGAAGCAGGCGAAGCGGTCAGGTGCGACCTCCTGCGAGTTACTTGGCCAGTTTTCCCACGTTTGAAGTTTAATGAGGGCTTGCACGAGATAAAGCTGAGAACCTGGTCTCATTTTGGTTTAGGCCTCAGCCTCCTGTCCTCCCTGGTGAAAGTTTTTGTTTAGTCAGAAGAAGCTGGTGTGATTAGCTGTGGATGCCTATTTGATCTCCTTATGTGCTTGTTCTGCGAACTTCGGCGTTCAATTTGGAGCCCACCCAATGCGAAGAGAATGCCGAAGCCGAGGAATCTCTCACACAAGGACGCCGAAGCGCTTCGTGAAAAGCATCGCTCCACTCAGAAGCGATTGTGCCCACCTCAGATGTGGGGCAACCACCTTGGACATTTTATACAGAAAGGAGATGTTAATCAGAGGCGCAATCGGATTTTCCTCAGGTCCAGTATCATGGCCTCACAGGAAAAGATGTCTCAGTACATCGAGGATGCTGTCTCAAAGTTGCTCGGCGGAATTGCAGGAACTACCCATGCAAGGCGCAGTCACATCACACCTTCTTGTGTGCATTTTGCAGTATCACGCTCTCATGCGACTCCAGCAAGCCAGGGAGAACAAAAACAAAATCGGTTAAAATCATCATTATACACAGGTCTGGAGTCTGGAGTGTTCAAAGAAGTCCTTCTTGGTCGCCGCACTTTGTCAGAGGGTGATGCCCACCTCCTCCGATGTGTAGACAACAAAGTAAGGCCAAGTAGAGCATGTATACAGTAGTATCAGCCTTTTATAGAGGCTATAGTAACAGCCTTTGAGCTACATTGAAAAGGTTCAATAACCAAGGTTCAGGAAGGTAAAGACATCCTAGATTTTTGCGGCAGCCGTGCACGTTCGGCAACATCACACAGCGCTTGCAACCCAGTTCTGACTCCTCAGGATGTCCAACGAATCCTCACATCGGCCTCGGTCATCGGTCATGCAAGGCATCCAATTTTGCTGCCACTGCTGCTCTGGAACAGTTTTCAACAGGTTGGCAAATGCGGTTAAGCAAACAAGCATTAGCGGGCTATGTGACCAATTGCACTAGAAGGCTAAAGGAAACCGCATTTACATGTTGCCATCATGGTGTCATCAGGTTCCCTTTGTAGCCTCACCGCATGCGGTTTCACATTGCTTGATCGCCAACATGGCGACCAACCATGCCGAAAACGTGGCAGCTGAAGGGGCTGAAGCAAAGGAGGAGGGTCCTGAGGCCCTTCCAAATGGAGAGGAAAGCCATGGCAAAGCCGAGGCAGCTCCCCAGAAAGAAGCAGAAGAGGGCCATACCATCAACATGGACATTGGGGATCTTCAGAATGATGCAGAAGTTCCAAGTTTGCCTCCCATTTCGCAGGCATCCCAAGATCCAGATCCGGTAGTAGAAACGGCACGTACAGATGCACCGGATACACCGATCTCCCCGGTGGACCACCCGGCCAAGCCGGGGCTACCGGCCTTGGTGCTGCGGAAGGGCGCGGGACGCCGCGCGCGCGACGACGCCCGGCGGCGCATCATCGCGGCCCGGGAAGACCTGGAGCGCCGAGTGGCGGAGGCCACGGAGGCACGGCTGAAGCGCCAGGCGGAGGCTGAGGCGGAGGCACGCGCCCGGGCGGAGCAAGCCCAGCAGAGGGCCCGGAGACGGTTGGCTGAGAAAAAGAAGAAGAAGGAAGAAGCTCAAGAAGCTGAGAAGCATCAAAGATCACAAAGTAGTGGTGCCGAATCCCACTCCCCAAGGGAGTTACCTGGGATCAAGCCGGCCAAGGCCCGGGTGAAGAAGAAGATTCAGAAACAACGAGAGGAGCAGGAACAGCGCCTACGGGAGATCGAGGAGGACCGTGAGCGGACCGTCTTGCGGAAGAAGACCCAGGAAGAAGCCGCAGAGGCGCATCGTCTCCAGGCTGCTCGACGGGCAGCAGAGCGTTGGCGCCGGGAGAGGGAAGCCATGGAAAAGGTGAAAGCTGAGAGGGAGGAAGAAGTACAACAGGAGAGGGGTGCTGCAAAGAGTGGGTGTTTGATCGTATTTGCGGGTGAGTTTTTAAAGACATACAATAAAATAACAATACAAGCAGTTCCGGGCAAGCCGGCGGCGGAAGTTTCCTATAAAAACAATTTGACCTATAGGAGTGTCCCTTCGAGCTAGAGCTGTTGAAAAACGCATTTTGTACGCGACTTCCTTCCAAAATGCATGTTGAAGCATTATTAACTGGAACTAGAGCTAACTAGAGCTAGAGCTGTTGAAAAAACATTTTGTACGAGACTTCCTTCCAAAATGCATGTTGAAGAGCTGACTGAAACTACAGCTAACTAAAGCTAGAGCTGACTGGAGTCAGAGCAAACTAAAGCTAGAGCTGACTGGAGTTAGAGCCGACTAAAGCTAGAGCTGACTGGAGCTAAAGCTGAGTAGTAGTAGTAGTGGTAGTGGTAGTGGTAGTGGTAGTATGTAGTAGTATGTAGATGTAGATGTTGTAGTAGTAGTAGCAGCAGCAGCAGTAGTAGTAGCTGTTCAAAGTCCGTAACACGGAAGTTTTGCACCCTAAACTTCCTTTGGTTATCATTTGACATATATAATAACTCAAACAACTCATATATCTATATATGTGTAATTATTATATAATATAAATGGATTAAGTTCTATTTGTAACGCCATTGAACCCTGCTGCCAGGCTCGGGAGCGCCAGAAGTGGTACAGAAACCCGAAACAGATCGCTAGGCTCATTTCAGAGGCACATGATTCTCAAGCCCAAGCGGAGGACCGCCTTTCGGTTGTGTGTGTGTTTTGTTTGCCTTTTCTTATTGAGTGGGTTGAAGTTGAGTCAGCAAGAAGATATGAGGTAGCTGTTTCATTTGTTTTTTTGCACGAATTGCCCCCTTATCGCATACCGCCATGTGCGGATCATGCAGCTCCCCCGAGAGCTCCAGGAGCGGAGAAGGGCCGCTCGTGAGGAAGAGTCCTACCTCCGTCACGAGCGCGAGCGCGCACGGCGGCATGTGGATGGTGAGTTGGAGGAACGACCTTTTGGGGCTCGACGGCCTGGGTCCAAGACCGAGATCTCTTTGGATGATGAGAACTTCCTGGCGAAAACCGTGCAGGCATTGACAGATGAAGATTGGAAGGTGAACATCAAGTTCAGCTGAGCTGTTTTGGAATTGACTTAGGTTGCCATGCTGTAGATAGCCGATAGCCTTTTTGCGACCAACCCATGGACGCCTTGCAAAAGTCCCGCTGCCGCCAGCAAGACACAGAATGACACGTGGGGTCACTGAAGATACGGAGGCGCTGCACAGCGTTTTGTGTTTAGAAAATCACGTGTTTTTCCATTTTTGTCCATTCCTCGCGGATGCTTCGATTTATTGTTATTGATGTTATTGATTGTTTGACTCTCCACCCAAAGGTTTTGGGTCTTGCAAGGTCAGTCATGGTCAGCCTGATTGTGCGGTTTTTTTTCCTAGGCGCAGTTCGCAGAACAAGGAATTCCAGCGTGCCTGGAATGCCTCAGAGGCAGCCGAATCTTGGTGAACACTGGAGTTGGTGGACTTTTGCAGGATCTGAGTGTCAATGAATGGGCATTAGGGGCAGTTCAATGCACATCCTGCCGCACAAAATCGTGCACATCCTTCACTATTCTCAGCATTCATAGGGACCTTTTTTCAACTTTGGTGCCTTGATGTGGCAAGTTGTTGTTCCTCACCTTTTGTTTGTTGGATTTCTATGGTCCCGTGATCAAAGAGTGACATTTGCACTATCAACATTGGCTGGAGTGAATGTGATTTTGGCCCTAGCCCAGCGACGATCTAAGAGTCATTGCATGGAATTACGGCCGTTTGCATGTGGTACTGATAACAAGCGCACCGCTACTAGTAACGAGTGCATTTCTACCAGTAGTGGCAAGAAGCTACTAGTAGCTAGTTGTTACTAGTAGTAATGCACTTGGTGACATAGTCGTTTGCGAGTTTTGCGTTTGTGAGAATGCCGACTGCCGACGGTGTGTTCAAGCATCATCCGAGGCTCAAGAACTGGCACATGCAAAGGCAAATTTGTCTTCCACCAAGGCATCCGGGAGATTGGAATCAGGATGGGCAAACTGCAGACCCTAGACGACCCTAGTCACTGGTCCTCTTCATGGCTATAGTAGAGTGCTCACTTCTTTGGCCCTGACTTGGCCAACAGTGCAGTGCTGCACCATTCCGACTGTGACCTCATGAGGCAGAGCTGGCGGCACTGCAAGCGAAACAGGTCAAAGCAGAGTGGCTTGGCAGTTCTGCGGGTTTTCCTACTCTCAGTTAGTCCGTCTTGGAGCACGGGATGTCTCATTTGACTAAACCTCCTACGTCCCTCTCTCCTATCGGTTTGATGGATTCGGACGGCACGGGTGAGGAAGGAAGCACTGCAAGCTTTGCGAAGGCAAAGTGCTATCACCCAAAGGCTGAAGGCGAAGCGGGAGGATGGAGCAGGACAAGAGGACAGCTTGCACCACAACTCTCCTCGGTGAGGGAGGTTGTTGTCCACTAGGACAAGAGGACAGCATGCAGTCAAGTAAAGCGGTAAGTTTGGGGATTCTTGGCGTGGACTCATTGCTGGCTAGTAGCGTCCTTGCTCCTAGTAGTACGGCCAGGAGCCCCTACTAGCGTCCTTGCTCCTAGTAGTACGGCCAGGAGCCCCTACTAGCGTCCTTGCTCCTAGTAGTAAGGTAGTAGCGTCCTTCCTTTGTTGGTGACGCATTCTTGGTGAATGTTGCTTGCTCCTTTCACAAGGCCAATGCTTCCAGACTCGCGCTTAATGCAGCCATCGCAGAGGAGGCCTTGCCAAAGCAAGGGGTGCAAGCCATCCTGTCGTTCCGATATCACCTGGACAACCGCTTTCCTGCTTGAAATGGCAGGAATTGGACCATCTTGAGGAGCAATTCCTGAGTGCCCAGGAGGTCTGAGAACTGAAGAAACTGGGTCAACCGGAGCTGATTTCTCAAAGTCGGCTTGTTGTCGGTAGCTTCATAGCTCCGAACCCTTTTCGTGGTGTTTTCTTTTCAATTTCACTGAGCTAGGGTTGGCCTTCAGTGCTAATGTGTATAGATGTGCATAGTGTATGCCTGTATATATATATATAGCGGTCGGTAACCGCCAGATTGGCAGGACCTGGAGGAAGCAGAAGAGGCCCGTGATGAGGAGAATCAATAAAGACACCCTTTGATATCCGTTTGTCAGAGAAACATGAGTACCGTGATGTAGACTCTTGATGAAAAACCCTCAATATATTTAGATTGTAAAGCCTCCTCACTTGGGAGGGTTTTGTCAAGAGTCTACATGAAATTACCTTGTTGCTTTGACATACTTTGACCTCACCGAGCTACATTCTGATCATTCTGGCTTGGTGGCCTCTCAGCAGGGAGTCAGAAAATCGTTGTGCCAGAATGATTCCAACTGAACTGGCAAAACGATATGTGTTATGTATATATAATCAACCGAAGGAGGAATAAGTGCGAGCAGGCCAGAATCAGAGCCCTGAACAATGACGATTGCTGACATGGATGGACATGTCAACGAGAACATTGATTTTTTCTTGGTGTGATGGCCCCCCGGCCCCCCCTAGAGTTGTGAACTGCGCAAGGAGATGAAGGACCACGGCGCGACGAAAAAACAATTGCGTTTGGAACCTCGCAGTGGCTTCAGCAATGTTTTTGTCTTTCAGATTGGACACTTTAATACTGTAACTTTGATAACTGTTGGGTCCGCTCCTCGTTTTGTGCCCTTTTCATGCAACGCCTTTATGGAAATCAACGCCACACAGTCCCATTGAGTCTCGGCACCGCAACGAAATTACATTGTTTTTCCTTTGAAAGGGTCGGAGAAGGGTTGACACGTCCAATGGTTCGACGCCTGACGCAGTGGTTTGGTCGTTTGACCCATGGTTTTCAGGTGCCCGCCGTTCGTTTCACAGCGGACCTGAGGCCCAAGAGCGGGCCTACATCACTGCATGGACGTTGGGTTTGTTCCTGGGGTGCATGGCCATTGTCATCGTGGGCCTGAGCACGGCGCTTTTTGTTCCTTGGCCATTATTGTGTATTATATTGGTTATATTGGTTATAAGTTATATTACGTTGCTATTGGGAAAAGGTCCTCCCAAACCTATCAGCTCTAATTCGATTGCTACGTATTCAACCAACGAGAACGAAGTTGTCTCAGCATCTTGTGACTCTTGTGTTTGTTTTAGTTGTTTGTCCCTTCGGGGCACGGACGGTCCTGCACCTCCATGGCATGTCCTTCCTTCGTTGGCTCGGGCGAGTTCGTTCGCTGTGGGCTCTCACGTGGGTCGATGGTGGCATTGACCATCATCGACCCATGGCGCCCTCCATGGTAGCGATGCCAGGAGCCCCTAGTAGCGTCCTTGGCTCAGGTTTGCATGAAAAGGAGGATGAAAGAGAGCGAGATCACACCGATCACTGACGCAGGCCCAGTGGTTACTGGTGCTGTAACATGCTGTAACACTTGCTGGTGGGTTCTAGGCAGCACTGAGCCTACCCTTGCTGGGATCGTATGCTTGTCGCCTCATGCCCTTGTCGCGAACGGTCGAGAACGTCCCACAGGCGGAAACTCCGTAGTGGTAGGACTGCAGGGTCTCACTGGTGGGCAGTGTTCCTCTTCCCTCGTGCCATTCAAGAATGGAGTACTTGCTAATGGACACACAGTGAAGTCACAAGAGCAAGCAGAGGAATTGCCAGCATTGTTTTCATGGGATTTGTCGTGGGTCACGTCTCGCCTTCCATTACAGGAATGTCAGCTTCGCTCCTGGTAGGTCGGAGGCCACTGCTAGTAGATCAGAGGCCATCGGTCACCCTTTGGCCGATCACTCGGTCACCGATGCTGCGCAGGACGGCCGGTGCATGTCGAGAATTACACTGGCGAGCCCCCCGTATCTTGACAGATCGCATTTGGATCAACGGATCAACGGATTGCAAAGAAAGGCAAAGGCCTAGAAGGGTTGAATTCACCTGGTCGACACAGCTCGAAAGTCTGCGAGTCGTGAGAAACCACCGTGGTGGTTGGGATTCCGAGCGCAGAGGTCAAGCCAGAGTTGCGGACCTTGCTCACCAGTTCCAGCTCATTAGCCCGATGCATGGAGCCGCTCGGACGGACGTCCGACGAGATGGGTAGCCTCCAAGTCCAGCAGGAGTCCTGAGTCCTGGTGGTTTGAAGTCCAGCGTGCGGTAGGCTGTAGTCTAGTTTGTTCGTGTTCAGGGGTACTTGGCCATTGACCCAGATCCACACTGGATTAGTTCAAGAAATCACCTTCAGGGTGTTTGCCGTCGAGTGCTACACTGAGGAGCCCAATGAAGAAGCCTAAGGAGGTAGCTGAAGGGTGAACCATGCTGGTTTTAATGTTTGCATCCTGTATAGCCAATTAACCTTGCCACAAGAGTTGGCTGCCGGCATCACAAGAGCTGGGCCGTGGAAATCTTCCTGCACCACATGGTTGTGGGCCAGACCTTTGGTGTGCCCATTTTTGCTGACTGACATCCAACATTCATCAAGGAAAGTGCCAAAAATGGGACCTGAGAGGTTCTTGGCCCATGCCGACATTATTTGGTGATTGGATGAGTGTGAAGGTCTTCGGATGTCTTCGGATTCTCTCTTAAAGGATCTTGAAGACCTTTTAGAATACCTGTCCGCAAGCAGTACAAGCGCCGCGCTCCAAAAGCGCCCGTCTGGATCCGATCAGCAAGAAGATCTCCGCTTGAGTGGAAGTTCATAAGTCGGGGTGTTTGAGAAGGTGCGAGCAAATGAAAACTCAGTGGTTGGAGCAGCTAGTGGCCCGTTCTCCTTCAGAGAATTCGAAGAGATGCTTGGCTCAAGAGGGGCTGAACGCTTCGGGCTCCAGCAGATCGGAGCATGTAGGTGGAGTGCAGCATGCGCATTGTGACAAATGGCAGCCACCTCAACTGAAAAACACAGCCGCCAACGTGCCAAAAACGACATGTTTTTCACTTTTGTTTGGGCGTTTATACTACATGCAAACGTAATACAATGGACCCTTTGAAGCCTGAACGTCAATGAAGATCTCTAGGAACGGACAATGGCCAGCTGCAAATAATGCACGGCAATGTATGGCAATGGGAAGTTCTTTGCAAGGCTTTGCAGCAGCTGCATTAACTTTACCTGGGCAGGGACATGTTCGAAGTTCCAGGATTTGCAGAGGCGCGCGCGTTTGATTATGCCTAGGGTTGACACTGAAAAGACCCCAATGAAATTTCTCATGATTTCTCCCAAGCTGAGGTGCTAGTGGTCCACGAGCGCTTGTGGCCACCAAAATCCCAACAGAAGTGCTGTTAGCAGCCAATCATGGCGTGGAATGGTGGGAAGAATCTGAAGAAGGTGATGCACACTGGCGATGTGTGCGGAAAGCGATGGATCAAAGCTTAGGCTCTCCACTCTTCTCTTTGGCCATTGATGAGGACACCAAGGCCGTGGCTGTCGGAGGCGGAGCAGGTCGTGCCACAAGCATCTTTGGGCCTCAAGGTGACTGGCTAACACAGCTGCAAGGGCACACTGGTTGGGTGCGCGATGTGCTGTTCTATGACAAACAACTCTTCAGCATTGGCTGCAACTTCATCAAGGTTTGGAGGCCCAAGGGGCCGAGCCCTGACGTTGGATGGGTGGGAGATGACGTTTCTGAAAGCATCCAAGCCACCGGAGATCGTTGGGTAGGAGGACATTTGGGAGTGTATTCTACTGGTAATAGGGAGACCCCAAACCAATGGCTTTAGGTCTAGTTTCCTTCTTCCAGGGGGTCTCCCTATTTTCATACACACCCATTTGATCTCTACGGATGTGCAATATCCAAGGACTGATGCGAAACTGCCCTACCAGCGCTGGGGAAGCTGTTTGCATGTGGGAGATCTCGAGGCCACTGAAATCGGAGGGTGTCGATTTGGACACATAGACCAGGTCAATGTCACTCATCGGATCCGACATGTTTAATTTGAGGTGGGCTTGGAGGGGTTTAGCTTTTTGTATTCATTCATTTAAGGTAGGCAGGGTCGGTGATGAAGAATTATTTGATGCAAGTCAATTCAATCACACTCCCTGAAAGTTGTGGCTCAAGCCAAAAGTGTGGGAGTGTCTCTCTCACAAGAAAATTACGCAGCGACTCGGAGGTCCTTTTCATTTTTCTTCCCACCCACCACACCCTGTGCTCCAGCTGAGCTGATGCAGGGAACTCTGTGGCAGCTGTCGGCCTGTGTTTCCACATTTGCGGTGCATCAGTGTGGCTTTTGTGCAGCTGTCGGCTTGGCAAAGTGCTCACGAATTCTGGAGTGCTGATACCACTCTGCGGTGGCAATGCGACTGCTATTGCCGGATGCTGCTTTATCTTTCGTTATCTTTAGTCTATATACTCCAACCTAGTCGCCAGTCATAGGACCGACTTTCGGCTTCCTCTTGACTACGTGAATGGAGCTTACTACCTGGCATGGGCAGGAACCGAATACCCTGGAAGGGCTTGTACCAGGGATACAAGTGGTGTGGGCCACCGTGGCCAGGCTACACAAACCAAAGCACTTTCAGACTTGAATCACTTCAATCCACGGAGAAAAGAATGCCGGTCCGCATTTTGATCTGAATGTTTGCAGACAAATATTGTTCAACTTACAAGTACTTCCTTTCTGGCTAATCCGTGGAAGGCCCCCCTATGGCTTAGAGAAAACAGTAGCACCAGTTTCGTGCAGCGGTAACTAAGTGCATTGGCTTGGTGTTTCCACTGTTGCATACTTTTGCGTTCAAACTACTTCTTCTGATTTTGTGAGGCCTCAGCTGATCTTTTGACGCTGGCAGTCACCCGCCTGAGTGTTTTTGTACTTTGCACCACTGTAAGGTGCGGAACCAAATCACTTTTCCCAAGCAAGCAAGAGGATGTTTTCCACCTTAGCCGCCGCCACAAGTTCCTGGGTTACAGCTAGCTGCGAGGTCTGCAGTGGCGCCTTGTTTGCTGCTGGTGCCGGATTGCAAAGGCATCGTTGGCAGTTGCCGAGCCCTCGGCTGAGGCCAAAGGAGTGGTTGGCCAAAGCGCGTTTTGGCAAAGATTGGCTGGATGGTGCGGAGAGTGGTTTCCAATACATACATACATACATACATACATATATTTATATGATATGTATATACATAATTACAAAATACACATTTTCTCCCGAGGGAATTTGTTGAGTCGGCTTGTCACGAGCCACCTGTTCCCAACTTGTGGATTGACGATGATGTCACTCTAGGACCTAGGACTTGAATTCCACTAGAAGCTGTTCTGAAGGCATCATAAAACCCTGAGTGCCAATGGTCACTTACAGTAGCTGCACGGGCTTAGAACTATCGGATTCCAAGTGAAGTATTCAGGGCCATCGTTTTCGATGCTTCTATTGGTGCTCCCAACGACGGAACCACCCATCTCAGGCAGGCCACTTTGCTGCAAGAGCCCAGCCTCCATGATGCCCGAGTCACACGTATCACCACCTGGAAGAAGAGGCGTTCACCGCTCTCAGCGAAAGAACTTACTGCTGCTACTTGTTTTTTAAGGCTAGAGCTATATAATATATGTACCTTCACTATCAAAACTGTTCAATTTGTTTTTGCAATGAGGCACTTGAAGAGCGTTTCCACAGTGGTGGTATATATACTTTTTTGCCGCACCTTCCAGTTCGCGTAGGTTGCTATCTTGCGGTCACGATGGTCAAGTTTGTTTGGATGGACCTGAGCAGTTTCCTCAGCTTATGAGCAAATCAATCTCAACGGTGAATGTGGTTTCTTTTTGTCCATTGTCCACTTATGGAGCGCTCATGACCCACATCACTGTACATGGCCGCGTGTGCGCACAAGGCCCCGGAAAGCTAAGCTGGGCACTAGCCGGTTACTCTCCTTGGCCATTCTGGATGGAGATCATTTTGCCGTGGGCGCGGAGGACGCTCGAGCGGCGTTGAAGGATGTTACAGGTGCGCATGCTGTTTTCCAAGGTCTTCCAAGTATGTTGTAGGCAGAAGCCACCTTTGTTCATACGAATTGACATCATTTGATACAGCTTTGACTAGCATTGGTCTAGCAAAGTTTGGAAAGACGCGAACGTTGTACTCCTTGTCCAAGTTAGCTGCATCATCGCACATATAGCCGTGACATCTATGTCATCAGGAAGGGTGGTTTGGTGGAAGGAAAATGTTTCTCGTTTGGAATCGAGGACGGTACTATCCACTTGCTGGATTCGAACCTGCGACTGCTACACAGCACAAGGCCGTTCGGGGCGTGTCCCATCAACAGTTTGGCAGCCTTGCCTGGTGATGCTCGACCAATTTGGCTCAGGCATTTGCAGAGATTTCGAGCCGCTTGCGGGTAACAAATGATTTGCTTTTGAGTGTTGAGGGGTCAATGTGCGGATGTCGCAGGATTTTGCACGATATAATAGACAAATTGGGACCATCACAACACACTGAGATCATGCGTCGTTTCCTCACCCGTTTGAGATCATGTCCTAGCAGTACCCGCCCAGGACCGCGTCGCAGTGGCCTCGACGGCGGTGGAAAGGTTTCAAGTCGCCTCCTTGAAAAGTTTTTGTTGCGCTTGGTCTTGCGGTGTGGAGGTTATTGCAGGGTCACTGATGAGCATCGAAGATGCTGGATTTGTGCAGATGGGGGCCGTTGTGGGCTGCATGTGTGTGGCGTTGAATATGTGGGTGTGCCAGGTCTTGCTGCAGAATTGCCATGTGCACTTGCAGTTGGGTGTGGGGACAGCAGAAAAATGCTGCATGCAGAACGCACATGAAAGCACTGGCTCAAAGAGTCATGCTGTCTACTGAAGCCTGGACACTTTGCATGATTACAGACCTTTGATTTGCACTCGCTCATCCTACACCATTTAAGGTCGAGTAGAGGTGAAGAATTTGACCATATGTGCCAAATCCAATTTCCTGTGCACTATGTAAAGAACATGTGATTGCATAGGCAAGCTGAGTTGCACTGGGCGCGTTTCTACGAGGGAGGACGATGGCTTTGCGCTTCTTTCGGGCCCTCAGATGCCGCATGCACGGCCTTTCAACCTGAAGGACTTAAGGCCAACCATTCCAAAGTCCAGGGGTAAGAGAGAAGCTAACAAGTAGTACGAGATAGCTACTTGACATGGACGCAGGAAAGCTCACGCTTCTTCAAGGAAGCTTCCCCTGCCTGAGGGCGTAGGGGAGCTTCCTTGCAGCAGCCCTCGCACGATTCATGTGGTTCCCAGATTTTTAGGGAAATTTGGAAACCATAACATTTAGATGATACCAGGCTTTGGAGGGACTTCTGGCAAATTTATTTCATTTTGAATTGACCAATGACTATGACCATTGACATCCACAAGGGCTAGAATTGCCTTGTGCTGTTGGGTTGGGTAGGTGCTGCTAATGGGACACACTACTATGTATGGCTTGCTGATGTACTGATAGCTAGGATATGCAGACAGCGTGCAGTGCTGTGGAGGGAAATCAGCGGGCAATTGAAGTGGATCTTAGACCTGACTGACTTGGGGGATCGTGGAACTAAGACGGCTGTAGAGTAGACCTTCAGTTCTCATCGCACTGGAAACAAGTGAATTTCTCTATACGCATAGCCCTACTGATCGAACTGCGAAGTTACAAATGATTGCCCTATCCCAATATTTGTTCTAGACCCAACTTCTTATTCACTTGGCCGCCAGGCATTGCTTGCTGTTGGTCGGGTGTGCGGGAAGCGAAGTGGCCTGGAACCTGCGGGTACCTGCGAATGAAGCCTCAGGGCCATGGCGAGCCATGTTCAAGGAGCCATCATGGTGCGCTTGGGCCAAAGCTCTGTTAATCAAGTGGTGTAACATAGGTATATGCTCTGTCAACAAGCTCATTGGGCCATGGTGTTAATCAAGCTTTGTTAACAGTGTATCCAGCTGGAGATCATGCAGCAGGGGAGCAAATGTTGAAATGTCCTGCAGAGTGGAGATGCAAGATATCATTTATACATGTTTGTTTTGATTTGTGTATGTGCGGAAGCAAGCAACTAATGCAAGGTGCAACTCACCAAACTCCCAAACAAGACCGGGACTACCAGGCGGAGTTTCAAAGTTCCACGCTCCGAATTCGAAGTAGAGCAATGCAATTCCCTACTGCAGGAGCGCGATCCTAGAGTGGAGGGCACCAGCCTTAGAGCCAGTTTGTGATGTTGAGCAGGAGGTCTATCTCCCTTTTATGGCAAACTGCAGTGTGTTTGTTTAGGTCCAGACCTTTTGTCTCCTTTTTGTTGTGCCATTTGTGCGACCAACTTTGTCCGAGAAGGGCACTTTCCCGAAGCATTTGACTCACCAAGCGAGGCTGGACTCGAGACCCGCAAGATGAGCGAGTGGCAGCCTTGAGGGAGAAACTGCAGAGAAGCAACTGCATGCCCAACCTGCCAGTCTTTTCGCCTTTGGACCCAGATGCTCGATTCGGCATGGCGACATTCCAGCTTAGAGGTAACAGCAAGGGCTCGCATTTGATCGTCTCCAGCCGGGGCCAAGGATTACAACGTCAGTGCCGTGGCATCTTTCTTCCACGAGCATGGCTTTGTGGTATTGGAAAAGGCGTTGCCGGAGCTCATGTTGGAGAACTTGAAGAACGCCTCTGGATACATCATGAGGAGGATTTTTGAAGAAGATCCAGAAGGAAGCTTTGGTGGTGGAGCTGGGAAGTTGCCACATCGCTACAGCTTAGGACCGACGTTCAAAAATGTGTATTTTTTGGATTCTTTTGGAATGTGTGTGAGTGTGTCGTCATGTGGACATGTTACAATGTGTGGACCTAACAGGCAGATGAAAAAAGTGTTTGTATATATATATATATTGTAGAATTACTATTACTATCTATACATTTTTATTTATGTAGTTATCTAAGTTATCTATGTATCAAAAAAATGTATATATTACCTGAAACATGACCAATTGATTACTGGATACCAAACTTGACAAAGGAGATGCTTCAGGTACAAAGTCCAACTTTCACCTCGACGCGTATGCTGAGCTGGTGGATTTACCCACCACGACTCCATTGCTGCAGCACATTTTCGGTTCCATTGAATACCTTGCAGCAGGATCTGGTGGGGATGTAGTGCTGGCTGGGGCGATCGAGACTCGGATGCATTGTGTGGGCAGAAAACCCAGGGCAGAGGGAGGCCAAAATGTTGGCATATTTGAATATGCTTTGCTCAAAGGCTAATTGTGCAGGTGCTGGATCTGCAGACTTGTACCAAGATATGTGCCTGCCTGCAGGAATACCAGTCCTTGCACCCAGACGCCATCTGGGGCGTTCTTGAAGGGCCCGTGGCCGAGCAAGAGGTGCCACCAGCAGTCACGGCACCTTGGCATCAGGCAGCTCTACATTTACAAGACCACAAATATTCCAAAATCCTCCGAGCCGGTTGAAGATCATGGACTGTAATCACCTGGTGATAGGGTTGGACGTTCGTTTGCAGAGCGGCATTGGATGGTTCAGTTCTAATAAGTACTGACTACTGGTGTTGCTTTGGGCTTGCAAGAAGGGGATAGGAGATGACAAAACCACCGACGCTCCTACCTCCGCTGTGTTGGTGAAGGAATCCAGCTACAAGGCGTCCACATGCTTTCCTTCTTGCTTTCCGTGCCAAGCCCCTTTTTGGTCCACCCAATCAAGTTTTAGCTCCTAATAAACTTATTTGTCTTTCCAACTGCAACCCTCTCAACCACTGATTTGGGGACTGCCCATGTGCCAGATCAACTTTGTTCTGGAACCCCTGACCGCGCTGAACGGCGCCATGCGGGTGGTTCCCGGGTCACACCGCTGGCCAGAGCGGCCACCACACCTTCTGGAGGAGTGGAAGGTGTTTCACGAACATTGGAAGCTGTGACCAAGATGACCAGGACACGAAGATCCACGAAGACCTGTATTCTGCTTTTGGGCGCTAGAAAGTGGGACAGATAGATTGGGCAGTAGTCATTGGATCCTTGTTAGTTGCCAGATTCGTACAACAGCGGCAGGAGCCGGACTGGATGCAGTTCAACACACTATGTCCACTCCCTGCAGGCTGTGGATTCAAAGCTACTTCCTGTTCACGCCAGATGTCAAGTGCCGTTTCATGTTCGGAATTCGATGAGGAAAGCCCCTAAGCGCACCAGGGAAAAGAGGCTTTGAGGCCGCATAATCGAGGCTTAGAGGCGTGCCTAGATCTAACCCCTGCCGGGCCAACGATGCCAATTTCCAGCGCAGGCGCTGCCATCTTCCGAGACAACCGATGCTGGCATGGCGGGACACCCAACTTGTCGGAGAACTTCCGGGCCTTGCCGAACGTGGAGTTCTTCCCACCCAAGGAGCGGCGCATGTCCAGTTCGCCAGCGGGACTCCAGTGGGACCGCGCGCAAGGAGCAATAGACGAGTACAACACAGTAATAACATGTAATGACCACCCACCAGTTTCAAGACACACCCGAGCCATACCATCCTGTGGTCCTATGGTTGAAATCTGCTGAAAAGGCGCAACCTGGATATATATATATATATATCTCTCTCTCTCTCTCCATTACGTACATGAAAGCCCAATCCATCTCCCAGTGCGTGACGGAAGGCCAATCCCTCTTTGGGCTGGTTGGATCGCTATACCATGCCATGGGACGTGTGGCAGCGGCTGTCGCCTTTGGGGCAATATGTCTCCAGACATGTGGTCGCACCGCCCGACGAGGAGATTCCTGGCCAAGACTTCTACTCCCCGGGTGCCATCCTGAACATCATGCCATTCCTCCGCTAAGACGAGGAGGCCAAGTGACCAACGAGCCCGAGGAGGCCGGTGTGTTCGGCGCCGAATCCGTGTCCGCTCTCCCAAGACCGAGGCCACAAGGGCCAGGCCGTGTCATGAAGCGGCCCAAATCACTCGAGCAAGTGCATTTCTTGTGTGACACAGAGGCACGCGATAACCTGCGATCCAAAAAGAGGATCAAAACTGTGTGTGTGTGTCCCACCCTGGACAAAGGGTCTTCCACCACCTTTTCTCC